GAAGCGCATGCTTGGGGCTAGCAACCCATTGATCATGATTTGGGCTGGCGAACCGCCATCCCAAAGCATCAAACAGTGTTGGCGTTTTAATTGTAAAAAAACAAAGACAAATAAGTAGATGATGTCACAAACCCACCAAGATACAATAGACTCATTCATCTGCTTAATCTGCTTTGTGAAGTATTTTAATAGATAAAATGTGGACATCCAAGAGGTGGATTAATTATTAAAGTCCAGGTCATCTGTTGCATGATCCCAATGGAAATAGAAGCTGATGCTTCCTGTGTAGCGCCAGCTCCTGTCCCAGATGGAGTGATATCAAGTGCAATTCTCCTGGGACCTTTCTAGCAGCCTTGAGGGAGATGCCAGAAAAAGCTGGAAGAGGAAACTAAGGTCAGTGTTTTAACCACTTCCCATCCGGCTGCTGTATATAAAACGGCTGGATGGTGGCAATCCAGGGGTTGGTTCCGTTCAAAAACGGCGCCCGGCATTTTGGATTGTGCGCGCTCCCTGGGAGCGCGTGGCACCGTGAGCCGGTGCCCGCTGTGTCCGGAACCCCGAACGCTGTACGGGACCTCTGTGTGAGGCCCCGATCATTTGATCACTGATTGGCCAATCAGTGATCGCATGAATAGGTGTAAGCAAGATCTCACTTCTGACATCATTGCTTACTACGTGTGAAATCTGTGAATGATCACAGAGATCACATGGTACAAGGCTAGTCACAACAGCTTTGCAACCATGTGACAAGCTGTGATCAATCACAGCTCACACAGTATTTCTCAATGGCTGCAAGAATGCAGCCAGAAAGAAGAAGAAATGTTATTTTTACAGCCTTTAACATAAATAAATATATAAAAAAAAATAAAAATGATGTAAAACAAAATTATAATTTTTGGTTATAAACTAATTTGGGTTATTTTTTTTTTACCAAAAAGATAACTGAATAAAATTTGGCCAAGATTTATGAAGAAAGATTATTTATTTGCAAAATTTTATTTTAAAAAAAACACTTTTTTTTCAAAATTTTTGGACTTTTTCGTTTATATAGCAAACAAAATAAAAATCCCAGTGGTGAATAAATACCACCAAAAAAAAAGTTTTAACTGTCTCAAAAAATGCTAAAAAATTCACATGGGTACAGTGGTGCATGACCGCACAATTGGCATTCAAAGTGCGACAGCACTGAAAGCTGAAAGTTTGCCTGGACAGGAAGGGGGTAAAAGTGTCCTGACTTGAAGTGGTGAAGCAACACATACACTGCCCTTTTGCAATGGGCATATTAGCGCCCATAAATGGGTTAAAAAACTGTTAGACTGCTTTTACACTGATTCACGGCTGCAGCACAGTGCACCTTCCACTTTCCTGCAGGTTAGCTGCACTGAGCCATAGACTTCTTTTATAGTCTATGGCTCAGTGCACTTTTTGAAAATGTTCTTTATGTTATTCAAAATAAAGAAATTTACATTTTAAATCATTACATTTCATTGTGGCCCAAATCACTTAAGTGGCCCTCGCTCTTCAAAAGGTTCATGGCCTTGTTTCACTTACCCCAGAATGTCCCTACTCTTGGCTGTTATGTTCTTTGAGATATAAATTAAATTAGAAGTCCAACAGTGGAAGTCCAAACCCTTCATAATGGCTAAAAGAGTTGTGCTGGCCTAGGAACTTAGACAAGGAGGGTTTCTCAGTCAAATCTCCTGAGAGACGTTAGAGACAATGGTTAGGTGGTTTAAATCTCTGGTGTCTACAGAAAACCAAAATATCAATTTTAGCAATCCTGTCCCATTTTTAAATTTACTGCATACATTAACTAAACCAGACACCCAACATTATTTGTTTTCTATGCCCATCCTGAGTTCACTGGGAGCTGGTAGGAGGCACATGTGTCTGCCTCACTGCTGCATTAATATCAATGATTGATGCTGAACAGGAGAGAGAAAACTTGCTATTTCAAGGGATCCAGCTGATCTGTTAAGATATGTTGAAAAGTATGGTGGTACCACACTGCTCCAATTTTTTTTTTTATTATTCCATATCATTTAAAGTGGTTGTAAACCCTTACATATATCCAGTGAAGTGATTGGCCTCAGGTGATACACAGAGATTAAACAAAGCCTCCTAAATAAGTTGTACCTGTTTATCGGCTTTCTTCTCTTCTCTACAGCTGTTCAAAGCGCTGCAATTATAAAGGTCATCTGAGAGTTTAAAAAAATGGGGAGAAGAGCTGAAGTTACACTCTGCAGAGCTCAGTGACAAGAGTTCTGATAGCTGATTGGAGGGAAGGGACACAACCCCCCCTTCACATAACTCACAGGAACATATTTGAGGCTTTCACTCTGCTGGAGGTCCCTCCCCTGTTACCATTTTTCTCTCAGTGCCAGAAACATTTTTAAGAAGTGACTCATGCTAATAGTAGAGGAATGAAACAGCAGACAGAAATGACACTTAGTGCCCGGTCATACCAGTGCAATTTCAGGTGCAATTTGAAAATTGAAATTGCACCTGAATTAACATCTAATGAATGTAAATGTCAGTGTCTTAACCACCTCCCGTCCGGTCGTTGTATATAAACGGCCGGACGGTGGCACTGCAGGGTCGGGTGGCCGTTTATAAGCGGCCTCCCTGCACCCTGCTTGTGCGCGCTCCCTTAGAGCGTGCAGCACCGCGATCCGGTGCCCGCTGTGTCCTCCGGACACAGTGAAACACCGATCGTCGGACAGGACCTCTTTACGAGGTCCCGATCATGTGATCACTGATTGGCCAATCAGTGATCACATGCAAAGTAGTAAGCAAGATGTCACTTCTGACATTATTGCTTACTACATGTGAAATCTGTGAATGATCACAGAGGTCACATGGTACAAGGCTATTCACAACAGCCTTGTACCATGTGACAAGCTGTGACCAATCACAGCTCACTCAGTAGTACTCAATGACTGCAAGAATGCAGACAGAGAGAAAGAGAAATGATTGCTTTTACATCCTTTATGGGTGTAAAAGCAATCAGTGTAGAAAAAAAAAAAAAATCTTCATCACCCCCCACAAGTAGTACAGTGTCACCATGGTGACACTGTACTGCTAGGGTGACAGTATGTAAAATAAATAAATAATAATATAAAAAAATAAAATAAAAATGTAAAAAAATTTTTTTAAAAAATTATAATTTTTGGTTTTAAACTAATTTGGCTTATTTTTTTTTTACTAAAAAGATAACGGAATAACTTTTGGCCAGGATTTCTGATGAAATATTATTTATTTGCAAAATTTTATGAGAAAAAACACTTTTTTTCAAAATTTTTGGACTTTTTCATTTACATAGCAAAAAAAATTAAAATCCCAGCGGTGAATAAATACCACCAAAATAAAGTTTTATCTGTCTCACAAAAATGGTAAAAAATTCATATGGGTACAGTGTTGCATGACCTCACAATTGTCATTCAAAGTGTGATAGCACTGAAAGCTGAAAATTGCCCTGGACAGGAAGGGGGTAAAAGTGTCCGGACAGGAAGTGGTTAACATTTACGATTTATTGCAGCGTGATTTCTAAAGTAGTTTTTGCATTACTTTCTGCAGTTTTGTTGCAATTTCACATACAGAGAATATAATGGAAATTGCACTGCAAATTGCAAGAAATCATCACAAGTAGCAACTAAAGTCTTCAGAAATCACACCTGAAATCGCTCTGAAATTGCACACAAATCACATGGTTTTAAATTGCAGTGGTGTGGCCGGTGACTTAATGCTCTTACTTTAGAAAAGTATACACTTTAGAGAGATATGCTCTGTTCATATTTCATGTCTGAAGTTTACAACCACTTTAACTGTAAAAAACAAAGACAAATAAGTAGATGATGTCACAAACCCACCAAGATGCAATAGACTCATTCATCTGCTTAATCTGTTTTGTGAAGTATTTTAATAGATAAAATGTGGACATCCAAGAGGTGGATTAATTATTAAAGTCCAGGTCATCTGTTGTTCTTTTATTCTCACCAATTTCAATTTGATGATGATGGCAATGTAATAGTATTCTTCTTTAAAGCTGTTTAGAGTGCTATTGATGCAAGACTAGATGCCACCAATGACACAATTTTATTATTGCTTATGAAAGAAATTATAGAGGTAACAACAAATTAAATATGATTCCCTAGAATATTAGGGTACCAGTCTGTCACTTGAGGCTTAACAGAAGCTAGGATATGTGTTAGACATTTACCTGAAGCACAGGAGTGAAACAGCAACGGGACAGCTTTAACAGATGTAAATTTGTGTGCTTGAATGGCTGCCAGAAAAATCTCATAAATATAAGTTAACTAAAATTTGTAACGAATGGCCTAAATATTCTGTTAGTCATTTGGCAAGTTTAATCAGCAGATGCAGGAAACTTTTGGAGGAGATTATTGCTATTAAGAGTATGTATGGACAAAACTTTTTAGCTTGTTTTGGGTAGAGCCTGGACAGGTTAGACTCCCTGTCAAGCTTTAACCACTTGCCCTCCAGAGGATTTACCCCCCTTCCTGACCAGGCCATTTTATACAATATGGCGCTGCATTATTTTAACTAACAATTGCGCTGTCATGCACTGCTGCACCCAAATTAAATTTGCGTCCTTGTTTTCCCACAAATAGAGCTTTCTTTCAGTGGTATTTGATCACCTGTGCCTTTTTTATTTTTTGCACTATAAGCAAAAAAAGACTGACAATTTTGAGAAAAAAACAATATTTTGACTTTTTGCTATTAAACATGTCCAGTAAAAAAAAAATCAAATTTCATCATACATTTAGGGAAAAATATATTCTGCTACATGTCTTTGCTAAAAGAAAATCCCAAAACGTTATCTTTAATTGGTTTACGTGAAAGTTATAGCATTTACAAATGGTGGTATAGATGCTGGAATTTTTTTTTCTACTAGTAATGGCAGCGATCAGCAACTTATAGCGGGACTGAGAGACTGAAGTGGGCATTCTGACACTGAGGGAAACTGATTTGTTGAGTCATAAAAAGCAGTGTGCAGGAGCTGACAGGGGAGAGATCTGTATTGTTTACATTCAGGTTTCTCCCGTCGGAGTTAAACATCTCGCGAGGACACATATGACTGGGCACTGGAGTCTATGTCACAGTGTTACCCTGGCTGACAGTCCCCCACTTCAGTGGAGAGGAGGAACTGTCATGGGAGCCTTACCTGCACACTTCACTGAACTAGTAAGTAGATGCCCCCCTTCCCTCCCTGTATGTGGTGTGGGGCACAGGTTCTTCCTTGGGTTGGCCAGTTCTGCAGGGTCCCTTCCTCCCCCCCTGGCCTTTGTTGTCCCTCCTGTCTTCCCTGACTGAGCTTCCCTAGCTCACCTTATTCCCTGTCCTTTCACCCAGAGCTTCCTCCTCCTCCTGTCTATTCCAGGTGGTAGTGCCTGGAGCCTGGCAGCCTGGGTTCCCCTGTGTATTCCTGGGTGGAAGGGGGGCTTGCTCCATTCCACTGAAGGTCCTGTGTGGGTTTTCCCACCTCCAGAGTTCTGGGAGGCCACATGGCAGCCAACATGTATTCTGCATTGGCTGTGGCTATTTTGTTGTTGAAATGGTGGCCATGTTTTTGAGGACAGGTTGGACAGCCATTTTGTTGTGGACCATTCCCATATACATGTATGAGAATCGGCTGTGGATATGCATGGTGACCATCTTCTTGTAGCTGTATGGCAGCAGCCATTTTGCCTGAACCCAACTTCTCAGAAGGTGTGCTGGCCAATCCTTGGGACACAACTTGATGGGTAAATTTTTCCAGGACTCAGCCAATGGAGGATCTAGCATGCTTTCTCACATGTAGCATCCATCCTCTGGGATTTCCCTCCTCTGGCAGGCGCTTGTTCAGATGTATACCATTAAGGGGCATGCTCCTCCCTTCACCGTTATGGCACACTCCACTATGGTGATTAGTGTCTCCTGGGCCTTCTGGCATCAGGCATCTGTTTCAGATTTGCAATGTGGCTACCTGGTTGTCTGTGCACACTTTCCAAAAGTTGATTTGTTTGCATCTTCGGATGTTTGTTTTGGTGCAAGGTTTGGCAGACTGCTAATTAAGGTTCCTTATTTGCGCTTTTAGGGTGGATGGAATGTTGTGCCTGGTTGTTCCATTTTTTTTCTGATTTGCCCACCCCTCATTGAGGCACTGCTTTGGGATATCCCTATGGTTAAGATTCAGAAGAGTTGTGTCTGTCAATGAACAAGAGAAAACAGGATTTTTTGTTACTCACCTTAGGTTTACACTTCTGAGACTGTTTTGTTACGAACTGTATTGCCTATAACAGAGATGGGTTTTATACCAGCTAGGACTGCCCGTAGGCAAGGCTGTGTTCTTTTCTGCATAGTGTCCGACTCCTGTAGGCGGCGCTATAAATCCTATGGTCAAGATTCAGAAGAGCTGTGTCCTCAATGAACTCAGAGAAAGGGATTTTATGGTGAGTAGCAAAAAAATCCCAAATTTCGGTGATAAACATCCTAAACACTGCATCTTTCCTCCTTAGAACACTGCAAGTGCATCAGGGGATTGGAATGAACACAGACACTCCCACTCAGGAATAAGCCTTCCAAAGACATATTTCAACATACAGCATTTTCATAAAGTGGTTGTAAATCCTTACAGAGAAGTGACTAGCCCCAGGTGATACACAGATAGTAAACAAATCCTCCTACATAAGTTGAACCTGCTTATCTGCAACACTCTTTATTGTACAGCCAATCAAAGTATAACATTTATACAGCTTGTCTGAGCTATCAGAAAGCAAGGGATATGGAACCAAGGTTACACTCTGCAGATCTTAGTAATTAGGGATGATTGGAGGGAAGGCATACCCCCTTCATATAGCACAACAGAGCTGAAGTTGTCGATCACAGACTGGAGGTCTCTCCCCGTCACCTTTTTTATCACTTGGTGTCAGGAAAACATGTCAGAAGTGACTAATATTGAATATTGAATTTAGGAATGAGGCAGCAGAGAGAAATTACATTACAATATTCTGGACTGAGACTAATACATACTATAGAGGGATATGCTTTGTTAATATTTCATCTTAGAAGTTTACAACCACAGAATAGAAACAATGTTTATACTACTAGTAAGTTTGTTAAAATCCTTGCAGTGCACATAGGTCACCCAGAGGGAACAGTTTTTTCTCAACAAAAGTGGAGTTAGGGCTCATGTACACAGGGCATTTGAACAACTCTCCTGCCGCTGGAAACTGACTGCTAGGAAACGTAGGTTAAAAACGTCAGTTTAGCCGTGTTTACCTACCGTGTTTATGCACGTTTAGCTGCGTTTATGAGCATTTGCATTTAGAAGCATTTTGAAAAGATAACCTCAAGAGACCCTCCCAAATGCCCAGAATGCACTGAAAAATAGTAAATAATTAACTATTTCAGACATTTTGTGATTACAGCCTATAGTGGGTGAAGTCTGTTGGGTCCCACAGCTCTAATCAATGCATATGCTATGCACAGCACATTGATGATATCACCACATTTTTAAAGATTATAACTGGGTCTGCAAAGATGTTTATTGCACACAAAGTGGATTTATATCCTTTGTGGCTATTGAGGAATATATTTAAAATATTGTTTTGGGCCTGGAGGTCTGTTTTAATTAACCTCCTTGGCGGTATTCCCGAGTGTAGCTCGGGGTAACATTTCAGTACCAAGAGCGGTAACCCCGAGCTACACTCGGGAATACCATGCGGCACTGCTCCGGCAGTTCTTCACTTACCTTACCCTGCGCTCCCACGATGTGTCCCCTGCAGCGTCCCCGGCCATCTCCTTCGGGCGATGCCGGCATCCGGCTTCTGTGTCCTGTCCCTGTGACGTCGGGACGTACGGGCGCCGCCGGCGGCGGGAAATGTAAAAATTTTAAATAATGTCATTTTTTTTTTTTTTACATTTTACATAGTAAAACATTGCTGTCTCAACCAATTTCACATACATTGTGTCCCTAGTGCTTTTCCTGTGCCCCGCCTGCATTTTGTCTGTTCTTTCTGCCTGGAAACTGAGAAACGTCCATGGCGTCCAAAAAGTGTCCCTTTAGGTCAAAAGCGGTTTAGATCAGCTAGAGAACAGCGATAGTAAATCAGAACCACTTGCAGAATTGAGTGATAATGATTTGTGGGGAAATTCGTCATCAGACACTGAAAACGATTTTGCGACTTTGCTCAGCAATGTGCGAACTTATTATGGCGCTATATTTCAAATTTCAGTGTTTTTGGTTTGATTATATTATTGAATTAAATGTATTATTATTATATTATTATTATTTTTTATGATTATTTATTAAATTATAATTTATGATTTTGTGTTTCAAGTTTTATCATACCCGGGATGTTTACTAGACTCTTGTTCGGACAGATTTCAGTGAGTTATTCCTAAATATTACAGCCTACAATAAAAAAAAAACTACATATTTCCATGCAAAAAAATGTACCGCTTTCGGCACCAAAAATCTGAAATAATCATACCGCCAGGGAGATTAAAATAAATGTTTATTTTCAGTCATTCTGTCATTGCTGGCTGCAACCCTCCCCCCATAAAAAAACCCCATACAAACATGGGTGTTCCCTTGAGGGGGAATTACATCCAGTACTGAGCCCCACCCTCTCACCATTCTACAGTATTGTGTCTCTTCATCTCTCCTCTTTAGTATCCACAGAATTCGGAGCTACAACCTGCTATTAAGAGGTACAGAGCTTACAATAGCACATACCAGCTACTACACTGGTCTGAGACAGCTTAGCATAGTACCTGACTTGCACTGTTGTCAGCTTGCATTTTCTGAACAAAAATACATTTAAAAAAATAAATAAACAAAATCATTCCTCATGCAAGCTAACAGTTTTTGCTCTTTCCATTTCGCCTCAATAGCAGGCTGCAGTTTTGGACTCTGCGTGCACTAAACAGGAGAGATGAGGCAACAGCACAGCTCTGCCTGGCAGCTTAGGAGAAGGTGGGAGCAGGGGCTGTGTGGACCCAGAGTACACTGCCTGGCATACCCCCTCTACTCCTGAACTGTCATTCAGAAATCCACTTCTATTGATCAGTGTTGTCAGATAGCAAGGCAGGTGGGCAGGACCAGGGGCGGACTGACAACTCATGGGGCCCCTGGGCAATAGGGGATCATGGGGCCCCTGTGTCCTGGCCCAAACGCAAAAAAGCCTATGAAAAATGTTCCAGGGGCATCTCATGGGGCCCCCTACTGACCCTGGGCCCTCGGGCAGTGCCCGAGTTTCCAAATGGTCAGTCCGCCCCTGGGCAGGACTAGCTTTCCGACAACAGAGCTCAACAACCCCTGCACGGGTTTACATGGGGAAAGTGCTTTGTGCACAAAACCCCCTGGGGGTTTAACAAGTTTTATTTTCCTCTGGTGATAGTTCTTCTTTAAGTTCTAATAGTTACTAAATGAAGTATTTTGAAAGATTGTTCAGTAAAAAAAAAAAAATTAAATAGTGCACTTGTTTGTGTGTTGTTGGTTTAGACAGATTTCGTTTGTCCATTATTTTGACTTAGTTGATAATCAGATTGCATTTTTGGAGTCATTCATGCAGAAATCCAGATAATTCCAGGGGGTTCACAAACCTTTTCTTGTAACTGTACATACACCTACAGACACATACATATATAATTAATTCCTCAGCAAAACCCTTCTGTATAAAATGTGTGCTCTCTGCTAGGAATTTATAAGGAATTTAAATCAGCCGAGCGTTACAATCCCAGAGCTCTGTACAGCAGCTTGGTTAGTGCACATGAATATGGATGAAAGCTTTTGAGCATAGACTGGCACTTTTCCTAACCTTTTTTTAATGCTTACCAAAAGCATGTCATAAAAGAAGGAAGATACACCTTATAAAGTGTATACATTTAGTATTCTGTAGAAATATTGGTGACATCAAGTGTATTTGCCACATTAATAGTACTACATCTCAACATATAAATTTAGGGGATCATTTACTAAAGGCATATAGACTGTGCGCCTTGGAAGTTCAATTGTATTCTGCAAATGCAGTTGCTCCAGAGCTTAGTAAATGAGGAAAGCTTCACTTTTAAAAGAATACCTATTCACACGCAAGGAACATTAAAAAACAAAACAAAAAAAAAATGTTTGCTTGTACGATTGGATGAT